CAAACACTGTACTGGTTTCTCTCCGAGTTATGTATTGCTTGGCTTCTGATAGCAACTTTATTTTTTATTTTTTTGAAACAGAGTTTTGGTCTCGTTGCCCAGGCTGGAGTACAATGGCAGAATCTCGCTCACTGCAACCTCTGCTTCCTGGGTTCAAGAGATTTTCCTGCCTCAGCCTCCTGAGTAGTTCTGACTACAGGCATGTGCCACTATACCCAGCTAATTTATTTTATTTTATTTTTTAGTATACACGGGGTTTCACCATTTTGGCCAGGACAGTCACAAACTCCTGACCTCAGGTGCTCTTCCCACCTTGGCCTCCCGATGTGCTGAGATTAGGTGTGAGCCACCACACCTGGTCCCAATGGCAACTTTAAAAATGTTTTTGTAGATATGAACTTTACTCGTGAGCAGAGGTTGCCATGCCTTGTGATCGGTGTCAGTTGCTACCAGGATTTAAGTCTAGCCCTGACATTTCTCTTTCTGTCTCAGTTTTCCCATTCGTAAATGGATATAATAAGAATCTCATCCTCATGGGGGTATCAGGAGGAATAGATATAGCAATTGGTGCAGTGCCTGGCCCATAGTAAGTAATCAAGTCTTGATAATAATGCTTTAGTTGTATTTATCATTATCATCATTGTGGTGGGGTATCCAAAGAGAACGTTTAAAGGGGTCAGGAAAGGGAGTCTCCTCTGGTTGCTGGTGGTGGTGAGAAAGCCTGAACTGGCTCTTCGTAAGCAGGTAGAGGGAGGGCAGAGAAGCTGTGCCTGTGGTCAGCATTTCGTTCTTGGCAAGCCCAACCTCTGGTGTTTGTGGTGTGCGTGTATTCACAGGATGGATCCTGGAGCTAGGTCTCCCTGAGGAGACAGAATCCATCACTCCAAAATTGCCCTCAGCAGGGAGACTTCAAGGGTTTACCTTGTTCCTTCTACTTTCAGGCTTTGTTTTGTTTTTCACTGAGAAGATGATAGTCCGACAATCCAGAAAGAAGTAAATCACCATCATTCCAACACCCACGTGGGTTGTTTTGTTAGTTGCTGTTCCCCCATGCCTGCATTTTGACATCGATGTAGAGGTTTATTTTATTGTAGCATAAGCATTTTTCCTGGTTGCTACACAGTCTTCATAATGCTATTTCCTGATGTGTCGGTTTCATCAAGGGATGCGACATCTCTCACTAAACCATTCCCACTGCTTTGCAGTGCAACTTCTTCATGAATATCATGTTTTGCTTCCACGGATTTATTTCCTTAGGATATACTCCCCAGAGTGGGAATTTTTAGTCAAAGGATAGAAATGTCTTATTTATAGCGTTTTACAGGAATAAGTCATTGCATCTTTCTTTTGTATGTCAATCTATATTTCCTCAGAACAAAACCACTTGAGGATGCGATCAGATGTCTGGTGAAGTGTTAAAGACTCGTGCTCCAGCAGACCCATTCATAAACGTATCCTCTGACCACGTCATGAATGCTTTTTTGAAAACCAGGACTTCCCTGAGTTCTTGCCACCCTTCCCCCAGACTTCAAGTTCTCCTTCCCAGTACTTCTAGAAGGGAACTCGCCCAAAGTCTGTTCTTTTCTCAGAAACTCATCCTTTATTTACTTTTAGAGTCAGGACTTGTTTGCATATGTAAAACCAGGACCATATTGTTTGCAGATGCTGGGGGTGCTGCCAGATAATTGAATGCTTTTAAGTCATTTTTACAAACCTGGACACAAAGGAATATTTTCTTAGGATTAAAAAAAAAGAACATGAAGTAAAGATTGTGAGATTGGGTTTCTAATTCAAACATTTTCACTTTGTATTCATAGGAGTCAGGACACAGAAAGTGAGGGGCCTGAAGGTGGGGGATGGGAGGGGCCCAGGAGAGAAAACTTTGCAGATCTAGAAAAACAAAAGCACAAGAGGAGTTAGGATAAGTGGCAAAAGAAAAGCAATCCCAGTAACCTATCATCCCGTCTGCTAGCATTAACAGTACATTTTTTTTTCTTCCATCAATAGTTTACCACCTAGCTTTTTATTTTAAGTTGAGAGGAGCTTAAAAGTAATTGTGTTTCCTATCAGTAGTTGATAAGTCCTCCTCCCCCTTCAGGAGAGAGGTTCAGATGTGAGAGCAGTTGTTAAAGGCGAACTGTTTCGGCATGAAATGCTTTTGTTTAAAAAATGAAATTAGTGTGGAAGTCCTTTCTGTCCTGTCTAGCACTGATAAAAACAGATGAGAGCTTCTTACACAGATTGACAGGCTTAAACTAAAATGCTGGGTTTCTTCTCCAAGTACATTTTGAAATATGCTTTAATATCTGCAAATACAATGGGGAAAAGAGTGAGTTCTGGCTGGGTGTGGTGACTCATGCCTGTAATCCCAGTGCTTTGGGAGGCTGAGGCAAGAGGATCGTTTGAGCGCAGGCGTTGAGGAACAGCCTGGGTAACATAGTGAGACCCCCATCTCTACCAAAAAATTAAAAATTAACTGGGTGTGGTGGTGTGTACCTGTATTCCCAGCTACTCAGGAGGCTGACGTGGGAGGATTGCTTGAGCCTGAGAGGTGAAGGCTACAGTGGGTGGAGATTGCACTACTGCACTTCAACCTGGATAACAGAGTGAGACCCTGTCTCAAAAAAAAAAAAAAAGGTGAGTTCTGAGGTCTAGCTCAAGCCTATAGCTTCTGCAGGGGCCTCACATTCAACTGGGGCCAGTGTGGCCACCGTGCTCCACTCTGCAGAAGCTTCAAACCCTCATGGACTCCAGCCCTGCGGGAAGTGGGAATGAGTAGCGGCAGTGTCTGCTACTGGGTGGAACAGCTCTCACCCACAGGCTGCAGGGAGCCTCTGGAGGCTGGGGACTGGCCCAGGCTGCTCACAAGGTCACTGTGGGATAGCTGGGTGGCTCCAGTCGAGAGCAGGAATGAGTGGCAGTTCCAGTCCCTGGGGGTAGCTGAGAGCCTGGCATCCAGACACCTCGCCAGGTTCCAATTTATAGGGCAAGCCAAGGACCTGTAGAGCCAGGGCTGGGGAGTGCAGTGATGATGGAGAAGTGAGTGCACCTAAAGGCACCTCCTGGAGCACCCTCTGGCTGCCCTGGTATTGCTATCACCATGGAACCTCCTCTGTTTTAGGATCAGCTTAGCCCTCTGTGCCTCTTGCTGCCCATGTGTAAAATGAGGATGAAGTGGGAGGTGGAGTGAAACTCTGAAGTGCCTTTCTGGTGGCTGGAGGTGCCCTGGTGAAGTATTCTGGTCCTGGGCTGTTCCAGCCAGAGTCAGATGGGGCTTGGCTGGGGTCATGTCCTCTGCGCAGATTCCAGGATTGGTGGTCAAGAGTTCAAGACCAAGGAGTGCCCTTCTCACCTTCTCTAAAGTAGTGCGTAAAAATTAGTTTAATGTTTGAACATGAAGCCCTCATTCTGATTGTAGCACTACACTGTTCACTGAGGTCAGCAGAGATTTGTGCTCTGCTTTGTTTTGCTTTTAGGGGGATTTTCTTTCCTCCTAGAGAAAGGTTAAGACTGTGTATCTTCATTGGGACTCAAGTCCTGGCTAGTTTTGGGATTGGGGCCAATTGCTTCATTCCTCTAAACCTAGATGTAGGATGTGGGGCAAATTTTCTTTTCCAAGCCTGTGTTCCTTATCTGTGAGGCAGGGACCATTTGTTCTGGCCTCAGGGGTGCCTGTAGGGTTCCATTGGACCAGGAGTGTGCCAGAGCTGTCCCTTCGAGTTAGCATTGTAGGGGAGCTGTGCCTTTTGACCCTCTTTCTGTAGTGATTCTTTTCCTTTCACCCAAATCTAGCACAGGGCTGGGCGTGTGTAGGGATTCTTGTTAAATTTTACTGAACCAAATTTTCTAGACCAAGGATCCCCACTGGGAGGAAGAAAGGAAAATGAAAAACAAAAAAAAAAAAAAGGAAAATGTTTTCATCAGGGTGATTCAGTCCAGGCCATCAGGTCCCCGGCCCGTGGGGTGAGAGGGGCTGCAGCCATGGGTTTCAGGACTTCCCAGGTGTGCCTTGCACGTGCAGAAGGCTGCCTGGAGGACTAACTTTGATCTGCCCTCCCCAGGCCTCCCTTGAAGGCTGGTGGTCACTGTGGCTTTTTCTTGACTTGCAGGATGCAGTTTCTGTCATTATTGTTGTTGTTCTTTTTCTTTTTTTTGAGATGGAGTGTCACTCTGTTGCCCAGGCTGCGTGCGGTGCAGTGGCACGATCTCAGCTCTCTGCAACCTCCACCTTCCAGGTTCAAGCAATTCTTCTGCCTCAGCCTCCCAAGTAGCTGGGACTATAGGATGTGACACCACACCCAGCTAATTTTTGTAATTGTAGTAGAGATGGGGTTTCACCATATTGGCTCGGCTGGTCTTGAACTCCAGACCTCATGATCTACCTGCCTCAGACTCCTAAAGTGATGGAATTACAGGCATGAGCTGCTATGCCTGGCCCCTGTTGTTTTTAACTCTTGGTATCATATTTCAAAATGCTGGGCCTGGTGCGTTGGCTCATGCCACACTTTGGGAGGCCAAGGTAGATGGATCACTTGAGGTCAGGAGTTCAAGACGAGCCTGACCAACATGGTGAAACTTCATCTCTACTAAAAATACAAAATTAGTGGGGTGTGGTGGCGTGTGCCTGTAATCCCAGCTATTCCGGAGGCTGAGGCAGGAGAGTCACTTGAATCTGGGAGGTAGAGGTTGCACTCCAGCCTGGGTAACAGAGCGAGACTGTCTCAAAAAAAAAAAAAAAAAAAATGTGGTAACAAAGCAGAAACCTGCCACCTTCTTTTCAGGGACTCACCAGTAACTGTTCAGTGTTTTTGCTTGTTTTTCCTCATTTTAAAATTCCCTATAGAATGTAATGATCTTTTGAGAAATGGCTTGGAAGACACCCCCAGCACTGTAGATGGGTTATGTACATTTGTTTTTGTGATGTTTCCACTTTTAACCCTCTCTGTTCTGAAATTCATTCTCTCTGTTCTTTTTTTTCTTTCTTTTTCTTTCCGGTTCAGAAGTTGGACGGACTAGTGAAGCTCCGGACTGCTCGGGAAGCCCCATCTGAATGTGTCTGCCCCCCAGGTAAGTGGAGGTTGAGCTCCCTTCTTGAGCTCCCTGACTTGCGCCATTTGCTTGGGATTGCTGGGAACAGCATGGTTCGGAAGATCGACTGGGGCCAGGCTGTCGCATTCGTGCACCGTCCTAAGGCCTTTCTTCCCACGCTGTCCCTGGCAGTCTCTTTGGTCAGTTTCCAGCAAAGTGAACTGACTCGGCTTGCTGGGTGGTATTGGTGGAGGAGCTAAGACATTGTTAGAGATGACTTAGCTGCCTAAAGACTTAGATGGTAGGGGCCGGGTGTGGTGGCTCACGCCTGTAATCCTAGCACTTTGGGAGGCTGAGGCAGGCGGATCACAAGGACAGGAGTTCAAGACTAGCCTGGCCAACATGGTGAAACCCTGTCTCTACTAAAAATAGAAAAGTTAGCTAGGCATGGTGGTGGGCACCTGTAGTCCTAGCTACTCAGGAGGCTGAGGCAGGAGAATTGCTTGAACCTGGGAAGCGGAGGTTGCAGTGAGCTGAGATCTCGCCATTGCACTCCAGCCTGGGTGACAGAGCGAGACTCTGTCTCAAAAAAAAAAAAAAAGTTAGCTGGGTGTGGTGGTGCACACTTCTAATCTCAGCTACTAGGGAGGGTGAGGCAGGAGAATGGCTTGAACCCAGGAGGCAAAAGTTGTGGTGAGCTGAGATCATGCTGCTGCAGTATAGCTTGGGTGACAGAGCAAGGATTCATCTGAAAAAGAAAAAAGAAAAACAAAAGACTTAGACTGTAGGGAAGTAGCACCTGGCCCATTTCGAAGATGGAGAAAGGGGTGTGAACTGATGGGATGTGAACTGACAGGAGACGGCAGCCTGGAGTCTTAGTCGCCCCACCGCACCAGTGTTGCGACCAGAGCGCTATGTCAGACGCGTGGAAGGTAGATAAATAATCTAGTGGACATGGGCTTCTTGTTTTCAGTTCTTTCAGTGGAGGCAGAGGAAGGAAACAGGAAACGAGGTCTGAATTATTCAAATTATCATGGACTTTCTCTGGTTTTGCTGGTGTAGACCAAGATGGCTGTGAATAAAACCAGAAACTGTTGCTTCCTAATCCTTGTGGCTCAAATCCAGGCTTACAACAGGTCTCCTGGCTGTCCTCAGCAGGGCTTTGTACAGGCCATGACCCAGTGTGTGGTCTCTAATGCTGGTGTTTTCAGGGTTGGAATGACCCTGCCTTAAGATGGTGTCTAAAACCAGTGAATGAGTGGAAAATTGTGATGTATCTCTGACTTCTTGACGTGTAGAAAGGTGACATTTGTTATTGGTCCTGAGAACACAGGAGCTGCACAGTGTCCCTTGTTCTCACTGTCATTCCTTCCATTAGCCAAGTGGTCCAGAAACCAAACTCACTGATAACATCCCAGAGTTGGGAGATGCCCTGGGATCTCTGCAAAGGTGGATCTCATGGTGTAAAAATTCTGTCTCCGAGGGCCGAGTGGGAGAGGATTTTATGGTTGAGCTTGAGCTAGCCTTTATAGGACCCCTGAAGTTTAATAAGAGAAAGAGGATTTGACATGGGAATGATTCCATTCACAGATCAGTAAGTCAGAAATTGCAGTTAAATGGGAGAAAAAAATCACATCCACAAATGGATTTTTGGTTGGTCTGTAAAATGGGAACTGTTCTTCTTTTTCTCCCCCCCGTTTCTTTCTGAGTGTTGTTTGGATGCATATCTGTGTGTGTTCTTTGAACTGGGAGTCACACCCCATTTGTGAGATACCAAATCAGTTTAGTGGGTTGCCGTCAGTAACCGCTAGCATGAAATTGTGAACTAGCAGAGAAGACTGGAATAAAAAAATGCCCAAGTGAAATTTTGGTTTTGCCTATTTATATTTGTAGATTGGACATGGATGACATGAGATGGGTTTCTTGCTGTGGGTTACTGACAGAAGGCTTGAAAGTCCCCAAGACTGATGATGGAGGGACAGTGGGAGAAGGAAGCCACAAGCTGGCATGGAGCTCCTGGATCAATCAGAAGTGGGGCCCCATCTTGGGTCTGCCCCTTACTAGCCCTGAGGGTCTTTATCAGTAAATGATAACATCTTGAAGCAGGCTCTGGGGGGCTTTCTGAGGTTATGGAGAAAGTATAAGTTAGTCAGTGACTACAGATGGGGTTCTGCCTTCCCTCAGTGTTCTGCCTTTCCTCAGGAGTAGGGCACAGGGAATGCGGGTCCTGAACTCTAGAAAGAAGCCTCAAGAAGGTCTTGCGAAGACCATGGGGGCTGAAAGGCTGGTGAAAGCCTCCAGTCCCACTGAGAGGAAGGCATGGTAGACTCCCCTGCTCCCTGGGGAGCCCCTGCTGGCCATCATCATTGTGCTGATGCTGTCCCAGGGGCCACAGGCTGTGATGGAGGCCGTCCTGGCAGGTGTGGTCAGTGTGGTCCTGGGGTGCAGCATGGTGACCCCAGCCAGACCCCTCTGCACACCTGTGTCTATGCCTGCACTTTCTCTCCTGTCACCTTGAGTCTGAGCACTTGCTTGAGCCCTTTAGACTGGAGCCCTCATTGATGCAAAACCCCAGCAGGCAGGCACATGAGCCCCTTATCATATAAAGAACAAAGGCCATGGGCCGGGCATGGTGGCTCGTGCCTGTAATCCCAGCACTTTGTTGAGGCCAAGGTGGGTGGATCATGAGGTCAAGAGATTGAGAACCTTATCTCTACTAAATATATATATATATATATATATATATATATATATACAGATATATATACACACACACATATATATACACACACATATCTACGTATATATATATATATATATATATATACACATACATATATATATATATATATATACACATACATATATATATATAAATTAGATGGGCGTAGTGACCTGCACCTGTAGTCCCAGCTACTTGGGAGGCTGAGGCAGGAGAATCACTTGAACCTGGGAGGTGGAGGTTGCAGTAAGCCGAGATCGTGCCACTGCACTCCAGCCTGGTGACAAAGTGAGACTTCATCTCAAAAAAAAAAAAAAAAGAACAGAGGCCCTTGTCTCTAACACCAGAAGCCTTAACTCATTTCTCTTCTCCCAGGCTCTAAGGCTCCAAGGTTTCAGCATGTCCCATGGTCTTTTGGAGTGTGGAGATGCAGACCACCTTCTGCAGTGGGGCTTCCAGTCTGATTAGAGCTGGCCACAGCTCTCTGCGTGGTGGCCCGGGGAGTCAGCGGAATCTTATGTTGGATCCTGCCTGCATGCAGCAGGCAGATAAGCAAGGCCAGAGGAGGGGCGGCTCTTCTGGATGTGCCATCCATGGCAAGGCTGAGCCTTGTGGCAGGGGCTTCTCTCTCGTCCCAACCAGTGGATATTGCTGGCAGGAGGACTGGGAGGGGGCCAGCGTGAGCTGACTGTAGCGAGCCTTGCACCTGTCCTCAACAAAATAGTGTAGTAAGTTGAATCCTGTCAGCCTTAAAAAGTATGTCCAAGTCCTACCCCCAGTACCTCTGAATATGACCTTGGAAAATAGGGTCTTCACAGGTATCATTAAGGATCTCAAGGTAGAATAGGTCATCCAGCATTTAGGGTGTATCTACCTCCAGTGCCAATTGTCCTTAGAAAAGGCAAGAAGAGATTTGAGACAGAGATGCACAGACCAGGGAGCTAGGTGACGGCAGAGTGGGGATTGGCATGCTGAGTGTGCCAGCTAAGGAACACCAAAATGCTGGTATCACCAGAGCTACGGAGGGGCATGGGAGGGACACTCCCTGAGGGGCCCACCCACAGTCACCTTCCGGCCCCTGGAACTGGGAGAGCTTGTGGTAATTTGTTGCCACGGCAGCCCTGTGTCTTTTTTATTTTATTTTACTTTACTTTATTTGACGGAGTTTTGCTCTTGTTGCCCGTGCTAGAGTGCAGTGGTACAATCTCGGCTCACTGCAACCTCCGCCTCCCAGGTTCAAGTGATTCTCCTGCCTCAGCCTCCGGAGTAGCTGGGATTACAGATGCCCGCCACCATGTCCTGCTAATTTTTGTATTTTTTAGTAGTGACGGGGTTTCACCATGTTGGCCAGGCTGGTCTCGAACTCCCGATCTCAAGTGATCCACCCACCTTGGCCTTCCAAAGTGCTGAAATTATAGGCATGAGCCACCACGCCCAGCCCATTTAAACTAATCTTAATTTAAAGCAGTAACTCCTTTTTTTTTTTCTAAACTCAGTGGGCATCCCGCATTATCCCACATTGTTTTGTATGGGCTGCCTTTTTCGGTTTGCCATTTCCCTTTGAGGTGGTCTGTGCCTGTCTGTGTATCAGAGGTAGGTCCTGCCTTGTTTCGGTCCAGGGATGGAATCTGGGCGTGCTGTTGGGATGCCCTGTAATGCACTTGGCCAGTCCCCACAAGGATGTTTGGGTCATTTCCAAACCTGTGTTGTTCACACAGGGCTGCTGTGTAGCCTGTTCCCCAGACTTCCTCGTGCTTTGTTTTGCCAGGCACGCTGCAGGCCTGAGGGTGTTGACTGAAGGACAGCGGGAGCCCTCAGTCTGTGGGGAGAGGCTGAGCTTAGTGCAGCAAACATGGGACGCTGCAGGGAGGGCTCTGGCCAGGTGGGCCCTGAAGTCTGTCCCTGGGAGCTGCCCCATGGCCCAGCCTCCACCGTGCTGTGAACAGTCGTGACTCAGGGGCATCCCAAGAAACAGGTGAGGGTCAGCACTGCGGCGCCTGGGAACCTGGACTTGAATCTTGACTCTGCCTTGTAAATAGTTACCTGGTGGTCCCATCTGTGTGTCCTGAAGCCATGGGTCATGCTGGCCCTTGCAGTAAATCACTCTTTGGGTTATAAGCATCAGAACATTAATTAGTGTTCTGATCATCCTGCACTAATAAAGCAAGAAAGGAAATGGATTAGTGCAGACAACTAGAAATGGAAAGGTCTGAGGTGCAGCTGGCTTCAGGTCCATCTGGGCTCAGGGCTGTCTCTCCTCTCTCCACTCTTCTCTGCATTGTTTTCAGACAGCCTCTCCTGGAATGACCTCTGCTTG